AATTAGAATTTAATTTTATTTTGGAGATGATATTTTTAATATATTGCAATTACTCTTGCTTCCTTTGCTATAATCTAATCAAAATAATTAGAAAAAACCTAATTATTCATTGGAATGCTTTAAATTTAATTTTTTTCTATATTTATAGACAACAATCCTCTTTTACTTTATATCAATGAATTATTCAATTTTTCATTCCTGGTTCTACTCTTAGCAATATTACCTATTGTAACGTTATGAACCTTATGCTATTATTAGATTACTAATTATCAAAAATAAGAATGGAGCAAGATTATAAAAAAGGTTTATCCTTTAAAAGTTGTGATACAATTAATAAGTTCAATATTTTATAATATAGTATATTGAAAAGTAAATTCGAACCTTCGATATAATGAAATTGATAAGATTTTCAATGATAATAGAAAGCATCTAACTTTAATATTCTTTCTTCATAAACTATCAATTAAAATTCATCTTAAATATTTAATTATAATCTATTGCAAATCGTTTTAGATCCTAATTTATATTTAATATAATTTTCTGTAAGGAGTGACCAGTTCGTATTATTCACCAATAAAAATTAATTTATTCTTCAATTTCGTGATCATTAAAACTCAATATCTTAAACGTAAAATTCGTTTGAGCAGAATCTATATCGCAATTAAATTCTATGTCTACTTTATTGAAAATATTTAATTTTTAAGGAATCAACATTTCAAATTGAACAGGTAAGCCAAATTTATTATCATGAAATGCCCAAGCCTTTTTAGCTTGTTTATTTAATTTATTAAACATTCTACTATATTTCAACCTTCAGAAATATCAAGCTCATTCCTACCTTTGCATATTGTAAATTCAGCTTTTAATAAGCAAAAGTTACTCCATGATGAAGCCTCTTTACAAAATGGGTTTTTTTTAAGTTCTACAAGTAAACAGCTAATGATAATTTGATTTAGTATTACTGCTTATTGATGAGCTACTACAAACAAGAAGTCGTCGTTTTATTGCTGATATTTAATTAATTTATGCTTCTATAATTATCAAGACTAAAAAGAAATATTACTGAAAGATTCGACAAATGATAGCCCTGAGAAGAGAAAAAGAGACGATGAAATAATTAAGGTCTTCCTAAAATTAAGTTTGTGAGATTTATTTAATTTGAAAATAAAGTCAGAAAACAGTATATTATTATGATTTTGGGTGAAATTTATTAAAGGTTTTCAATTTGTCAATTTAATATAATCTCATCTATAACCATAGGGCAATATTACAA